CACTTGTGTGCATTGACTTGGGCTAAATGTTTTTTTTGTATTAAAGGTGTGCCTCTTGTCCTGATTACCCTGTGCATTGTCCCCCAATCAAAATTAGTCTTTGGTTCATAGAGTGAGCCTTCACGAAGGATTCGATTTCTTTTGCTTCAATCACTTCCCCTCGATTCCCAATTGCTGGTGAATGCATCCGCAAATAGCCTCATTACGCGCTAAGAAACTTTAAAGTTGCACCAAAGGTATGATCAGAAGGTTGTGAAAGGGCGAGAGGTTCATCACTTATGGTTTCTCTGTCTGTGGGGACGTTTTTGTGCTGACCTGCAACTGCTGTTGTTTGTAGATGGCACCCTCTATATACCGCATATAATGGGAACGATGCCCAACGCGGCATTCATGACCCAACAGCGCTCCGGGCAGCCGGCCTACTACAACCTCCATCAACATCACCCCGGGCAGGTTATGCTGATGATGCAGCAACAGCCGAGTTCAGCTCTTGCCGATGACGTTGTGCTGCCAACTTCCACGCTGACACATACCAATCGCAACACTCAGATTAACGCCGACAACTAACTGTTTCCCTTTCTCTTCTTCATGATGGTGCTGGCGTTAACACGGCATCCATACGCAATGCATTTCGTCCTGCCGTGTTTTATGCATTCCACAGCACGACACGTGCACATACACCCACACAGACCCCAATCCCAACAGAAGGCCAGACGAACTAACCTTGTGTTTTTTAGAGCTCATTTTCCCTTCCCCTGTCCACACCTGCCCTCCTTTTGCATTGACCTTGTGTGCGTGCGCGTGTTTGTATGCATCCAGGGTGTGAAATAGTCCCCACTTCAGTCTCTGTGACGATGTCTTGACAACGGAGACCTATTTATTATCGTCGTGTGTGCGTGCTTGTGAGCTGCTGAACTAAGCAATCGACATACAATCATTCATGTTTACTCCTTCATCTCTCTCCATACATATATATCTGTCTCATTTCGTTTTAATTGAGAAAAGAAATGCACTGACGATGTTTGAACCGCCTCACTTGATGGACGCTGGGAAGACAGAGGATACCATTTTGCCCGTGAGACTTGGGTATTTAAGCTATTCAGTATAAGCCTTGTATCTTGGTTTTGAAATGTGGAGATGGGGCCTTAATTAAACTTCTGAAAATTGGGATTTGAGGGAGTGGGAGAGCATCGACAGGTTGAGGGTGTCGTTTCTGGTTTTTTGCTTACCCAGCCGTACTATTGTTTCTTCCTTATTATTTCCTCGTCTCCGTTGCGGTTTGGTCTTCCAAAGCGTTTTATATTTG